GCTCATGATGGTATTTTTATAATGATCCCACCCCACACCGGTAAGAAATTGCAATGTTGCCAGTTTTAAAGGATATCTTGGAATTAAATGAAAGCTCACCACTGCTTGATGTCCTCTATATATGCTCTAATTGCCTCATACAGAGCACTGTGGCTCAATCCAGGGGAAAAAAAATCCTAAATGTGAGCAAAAATATACATCAAGGGAACAACACGGCTCAGTTTTTTCAAGTTATGCAACTGCTGCATTAATTCCAACAGCACTTAAAGACTATTTTCTGATGGTTATTTATTTTCTCTTTAAAGTAAACAGACTGATAAATTTTACCTTAGTTATTAATATCCATGCAGTCACTTTTTACTGCATGTTTCTGTCCAAGCATTTGAGAAGCTGCAGTACCATTCTTTATGCAAATAACGTCAATCTAATAAATTAATAGCATTCATTGAAAAAAACACATAAATTTTAAACCAAAAAATACCTAGAATATTCAAGTATTTTTTTTTTCCTTTTCATCTTCCAAGGGAAAATGAAAACTAAACTAAAAGCAAATCTCTGTTCAAGTCAGGTCACCATGACATAAAGCAGTACAAACCAATAAATCCAGCAAGGATGACAGTCCAGCCTGGCAGTATGCTCACAGGCTTCCGAGCTGTGGAAAGTTGGGAGGGCTTTGGATATTAGTTCTGTGGCTGCAAGCTGACTTCTCGGAAGGAAAGAAAGGTCATCCTGCCACAAACAGCATGTAAGGCAAGAAATGTGGCTTGGAGTTGCACTGCATGGGTGGAGTGCAGCCCCATCCTCTCCTGCTCTGCAGATAAACCAGCCTTAAGTTTTTGCAGGGAGGAGAGGACAGGAAGGAAGGATCCCTGCAGGGTGCCTGCTGTTCATGCTACCAACACATCACTGGTATCTCGGATGAATATTTGGGTGTAGGTAGCAACACAGGAAAGCAGCTCACCTTCCCAATAAAGGTAAAGGAGAGAGACCTATTACTCTACTTGAAAAGAAAGAAAAGAAAAGGTACTAACAAAGCATTGAGTGTCAGAAAATACAAATCTAGGTCTCACTTTCACTGTTGCACATATAGCACGAGAAAGCATAACTGCAGTGCAGCTGAGGAAACAGCTGCAGATCAGAAATTGTTATGTGTGTTTATTATGCACACATATAACCAGGCCATTCCAAAGTGCTATGAAATCAACTGAAAGCTTCTCAGACCACATGTCCCTCTGTCATGGACTAGGTGTTAAGGAACCAACATCCCCCCATCCCTAAAGGCTGGTCCCACCTGTAGATACAGCTGAGATCTTTGAAAACACGAGCCAAGTGTTTGATCTTTTGTGTTTCTAGGACCACAGTGAGCACAACTGCGGAGCAGCTCATAGACAAAGAGAACAGCTCGCCAGGGCTGGAGGGCTCAGCTCTCCAAATACAGGTGAGCTGCCCTACCAGGCACTTCAACCTCCAAAACATTATTTAAACTATAAATATGATACCTGTGCAGAACTGAATCACAGCAAGCAGAGCTCAAAGAAAGCAGATGACTCCATGGGTCGGTTTGTTTGCTTCACTCAAGCACCAATAGAAGGTAATGCTGAAGGGCTTTGGTCAAAATTACCTCAGCTGTACAGAACAGGAGAGGCTTAGCTTCAGGCACAGCCTGCATTGTTCAGTGTATGAAGAACTTTTAGTGATAGCTCGAAACAAAAGCCTGTAGAAGATGACTGGGAAGCTTTCTAATTAATACAACAGGTTTCATACCTTTTTAGACCTATTTGTGAAGCTCAGGTCAAAAATGCTTTGCTCTTTAAAAACGTATTAAAGGACAGAAGCACACACAACTATAAAACCTAGCACTCAGTAAAAAAATCAAGTAATGGCTCTCTGAACACTGCTGCAGGGTTGAAAACTCATAGTAGACAGTGGAAGGAAGAAATCAGGTGTATGGATGGGTGTCCATAGAATCAGGATCATTTAGTTTGGAAAAGACCTGCCAAGGTCATCCAAGCTTTGACTGATCTCCACCCTGTCAGTTAAACCAGAGAAGTAAGTCCAATCATTTCTTGAACACTTCCAGGGATGATGACTTCATCTCTTCTCTGGACAGCCCCTTGCAACGCTTAACCACCCTTTCAATGGAGAAATTCTTCCTGATACCCAACTTGAACTTCCTCTAGAACAGCTTGAGGTCATGTCCTCTCCTCCTCTCAGCTGTCACCTGGGAGAAGAGGTCAATCCCGCTCCCATCCCCCCAGCTGCAGCCTCCTTTCAGGCAGTTCCAGAGAGTGATGAGGTTCCCCCTGAGGCTCCTTTTCTCCAGGCTAAACACCCCCAGCTCCCTCAGCTGCTCCTCACAGCACTTGTGCCCCAGAGCCTTCCCCAGCTCCGCTGCCCTTCTCTGGACACGCTCCAGCCCCTCAATGTCTTTCTTGCACTGAGGGGCCCAGAGCTGAGCACAGCATTTGAGGTGTGGCCTCAGCAGTGCCGAGTCCAGGGGGACGGTCACTGCCCTGCTCCTGCTGGCCACACCACTGCTGATCCAGGCCAGGATGCCATCGGCCTTCTTGGACACCTGGGCACTGCTGGATCACGTTCAGCTGCTATCAGCAGCACCCCCAGGTTCTTTTCTGCTGTTCATTGTGTCTATGTAACCCAGAGTAAATGACAATATCAAAATGGACACCAAAGGCTATTTTATAATCTGGGTTTATAGCTGGAAAATTTTTTGAACTTCAGACAATCACATAATGATCACAGGACTTTCAGATTCTTATAGTAGACACAATTACTCAATCATTCTATCATGTGTAGTGAATTCATCATGGTCATGAACTTTTGGGGTTTTTTTCTGTGAGTTAGAGGTCTTTAAGAAATACAATTTGAGATTGTTTTTAATCTTTGTTATCTATTCCCAAAAGGTATCTTTTCTTCCTTTTTGATTATGCCTTTGAGGCAAATATAGCACATTTCAGACTAATCTGCCATGTTTATGGGACACGGTGACATGTCAGCCACTTAGGGATTGAGTAAAAGGCAGATGTAGGCAGATCCATGCATTCCTAAGGCAAGCATACTGCCTGCTCTGTCTTCTAATTTCAGAATTAGAGTGATGAGGAGTAATTTTTAGTGTGGGAAGTTTCTGTTATCAGTTTAATCTAAACAGTAACATAGATGGTCTGCTTGCTCAGTGGTAAATCATGTGGCAATACTTCAGTTCCAAAAGAATGCATGGAAATACTGCTGTTCCATGAAAATGGAATGGTTAAAATGGAAATTTTTTTACTGAGTATCACATTTACTGAATGCAAACACAAAATAAAGAAAACAAAACTTCAAGATGTAGAAATAAAGAATTTTGTGCTATTTATTAAAACATAATTGCTTTAAGGATCACAGTTAAAAGTCAAACTGTATTGAATATGAAAGACATTCTTTTCCTGGGCAGTTAGAAGTGACAAACTAGTCAACTAACACAAAAGTCTGTCTATACCACTTTATCTAGGGTCACACATTTGCACCAGCTCTAGTGGGTTTTGCACTACTATATGGGGATCTCAAAAATGCTTTTATTCCGAGTTGTAATATAGATTCTTCTTTGTTTGCTTTAGGAAATTATGACCCATAAGGACACCTTTAGATATTCCTGTACTTTTGCCCACAGTTTTTTCAAGAACCAAGATGTAATTTTTATCAACAAGCAACATCACTTACACTTTTAATGAAGGGCACCCTGGTTTAGCTGAGGGAACTGAGCCTACATCCTTGTTCATGTGACAAGGATATGTCTGTACAGACAAGCTACACACCACCAGCAGGACACAGTCACACAATGGGGGCATCTAGCAAGTCATGGGCAAAAGCAAAAGCATAAGGCCAGAAGTACCCAAATAAGACTCACCATTTCCTATGTTTAATTATCATTTCTAATGACTGGTAAAATTTCTCATATTTCAATAGACTCGTAAATTCTTCTCAATGTTTTTCTATTTCTCTTTTGTTTGAATAAATCTACAATTAACTGCCTTAAATACATGAGTTTTTTCATAACCATATCAAAGAAACAAATAACACCACATTATAAATTTTCAGCTGAATATTCATTTTTATGGTAAAAACACATCATTCTTCTTGAATGTATAAAGCTATTTGAGTCCAATTCTCTTTTTACAATTACCCCATGTATAATGCCATGCTTTTAAAATAGAAAACATGTAGCTCCATTAAATCGTACTGAAATGAGTCTGATGTGCATCAAAATGTTTGCAGTCATATTTTCCATTTCTTTTTGCATCTAATCTCACTATAATTTGATGCTAATGGCTGATTGAGTGTTCAGCATTGGAATTCAAAACATTAAGATTATTAAGAGATGGAGCCAGTGAAAACATCTCTATTTAAAGCTTCTTAAATACAGAATGTAAGAGCTGATGAATTTAAGATTACAACAAAGTGACTTAGCTTCAGTAAGTGCTGAACTTTTAAGGAAAAACAACACAAGCCAAAGCTTAGTGTGTTTGCATACACATTATTTCGGGTGTAATACACACTGAAATTTTCCTAAACTTTCTGATTTTTGAAGAAGCGTTCCACTGGATGCTGGAAAAAACAGTATGCTGGACTTAAAAGTTTCAATGCAACATGACCACAGATGAGAGTCTGAATGTATATTGTGTGCCTAGCACTTTAGTTATTCATGATGGTATTGCAGTAATAAAAAGTAAAATATCCATAAGAAAATGTGGGCAATGTTTATTTTAATTCCTCCAAAATCTTATACTATGCACATGCCCACATGTACCCATGCACACAATGTAGTAAAATTAAAATTAAAATTAATTTTTCGCTGTGTCATACCAGAAATTCAAGAGTGTGCAATGTGTAAGAAAAATGTGTAACTGTTGTTAGAAATCTGGAAAGTCTATTCATTGTCATTCATATGCATATCTAAAAAGCAGCTTAGACAAGTTTACAAAACATTTCTCATCACTGTTACAAAAAATGACCCAGGTATCATCTCTATGATAAGAGAAAAGACATTTCACTTCTTGTGAAAGAGAAGAGGTTTCACCATCCCTGCTAGAATCTTGGGTAGCTGGGCAGCAATCACCTCTGACATCATCTCGGGGAATTCAACGCTCAGTGCACGGGACTGGAGAAATGTGTTCAAGCAGAAGAGATGGAGCTGTTTCACCAGCTGGATTTGATAAAATACAAACATGATCAATCAGGCTAACAGTAATGCAGCCACATAAACATGCTGTCAATCTGTTATACATTCATCAGCTGACATCATTCTATACCTTACCCTGTCCTTTCTTGAAACAGTAATGAGGGTACTTTTCAGACCCTATTAATGGCAAAAAACATACATATAGCTATGGCATGTCAAATAAAACCACTGCTTCACGAATATTATAAAGTATCACCCTCACTCATGACATACACAACCAACAACAACTACTTGACAAGCTTTCAACCTTTCATCTTACTCTCACATTCAAGTGTGTGCTTTGGTCACTACCTGCTATTTAAACCCTGTTCTGAGAGACAGCATTGACCTGTGAGCTTTGCCACAATTTTCAAGATGATCATATCCGTGTATGCTGCAAACACTGAACTCCACAGACTCTCATCCCTTGAAAGCAATTGCTCAACATGTGACTATTAATCTCTTCTAGGCTCTCTGAGAGGTTCCAACTTTTATTTCAGACCGGTGACCATTATATTGTCAAATATCATACAATTTCTGCTACCCTAGGCTTTAATTTCAACCCATGTCTCCAGTGTGATGATTTTTCTTTTCCTGGTATCTCCCATCACTTTATCAGCTTGAGCTGAAACAGGACTTGAATGAAGATACTCTATGCACTAAACATCACTTTGCTACTTTGCAGAAAGCCTCTCTCCCTCTTTCTCCCTCTTTTTCTCCCTCACAGATTATTTTACTGTGTGTGTGCATTTGAAAGGAAGAGACTGAATTAAAATAAAATGCTGATTTGCTGAGTTCTGAAGAATACAAAGATGCAAAGATCCTGTCCACCTTGAATTCCCTGGGAGATCCTTACAACCAATATTGATCTCTAAAGTGTCCAGGGCTTGGTATCCAGAATTCTCAAAGATTTCTCAGTTCCCAAACACAGACAGATACTGAAAAAGTGGTATAAAATATACACATAAAACCAGTTGAACTAAGGTTGCAAAGCCAATCTTGGTTGCTTAGCACTAATTTTTAGTAGTCTGACTTTGCAACTTGAACTGCCTATTCCTCACGCTATTTTCCTGAACAAGTACACACATGTTCACACACACATATACACCACCCCTACCAAAGCCCACAACTGTACCAGTTATGTTAAAAATGAAACAAAATGGTAGCATGTTTCACAAATACTTCGATATTGTATACCATAAAATACATGCATGACACACATACTGATGCTGAATATATACAGCTATCTATTCACAACTATACACAATAACGGAAGTTTGTTTGGTTTTTTCTGTTGTTTAGCAATGCTGACTACTCCTTTCCATAAAATGACTTTAAAGAAATACCTTAAGAAGTTCCTCCTCTACATCAAGAGCAGAACCCATTAACAAATAAACTTACATCATGCATGGAATCCATCAGTTTTGTAAGTTGATAGAAACGCTGTGAGTTGGCCACAACACCTTTCTGGCGCAGACCAATTGCCTTCACCAGTTCTCTGATGTAACTTGTTCTCATCTCATCAAATTGGCTTTGACTTCTTAGACCTTCCAAAGGAACTAAAAAAAAAAAAAAAAAAAAAAAAAAAAAAAAAAGAAAAACCAGTTGGGCTACAATTTACTCTGAAGGCAATGAAATTTAAAGTACAGGAAAAATTTACAGCATTTCATGCTGCACAATGCGATTCATTATTATGTGCCAGGTTTTTCTTCCCATTCACAAGTTACTCCAAAAACAAGTTACTCCAAAAGTGATACGATTAGTTAAAAGGATACACCAGGAGCATTCAGTTAATTTTGCTAATTGCCTATATCTAGAAATATCCCTAAGCTTCTGTTACATGTGTTTGCTGGGAAAAAAATTAGGGTTAAAAGAATCTCTCCTGCCTTTGAGGAAATACGTTACTGATTCATGTTTACACTGCTGAGGGTCTGCCATCTTCACAGCAAATTTGTGGTAGAGAGATCTAGCTGGAGTGCTTCAAAAAGGAGTCAAGGAATGAGCTCTAAAGCAGTGCAGACAGTAAAGCTGCCAGGGCTCAGGCCTCCTGTTTGAATCTCTTTCACTAAACAGATCAGAGTCTTAAAGGTGAACAGCTTTTTTTAAAAAAATAGCAAGGAGGAGAAATTGGTTGAACTCCCTCTTCTCTTAAAGGTCAGGTGTGAGAATCAAAATGAGGACATGGAGAGAACACTGAGAAAAGAACCTGTTAGTGGCTGCTAGTGGTAAGTGTCATGGAAAAAGAATACCTTAATTTTCAAAGCCTGGATTATCCTGAACATTTCTTACAACAGGTTTATAGAGAACTAAGGAATGTTTTCATATGAAGTGTCTCTGATGGAGTTTAGGGTTAGATGGAAGCTATCCTTGACTCACATCGCTAAACCAGCAATGAAGTCTTTATATTTCCCCTGCAAATTAATTTTAAAGGTATCTTCCATCAATGAATGGTCTTTTTCCTCTGCATTCTGCAAAAACACAGCCACATTCCTGCCTAACGACAAGAAGTTCATCTATTCGAGCTGTTCCCTTCCCCTGAACATATCTCAAGAATGAGGATGCTTTTATTCAGTGGCACACACTGAGCCAAAATCTTATGCAATGAGACTTAGAAATTCCTTTAAATCAGAAGTCTGCAAAGCACTACATTTAAGCGTCAGCCAACTCAAATTAAAAACTGTAAAATCAAATATAATGTTAAAACTTCGGCTGGGGGTTCATTCAGAATTAGAAATGTATTGAGACTGACACTCAGTTTAATTCAAATTACTGTTTCTTTGGAATTATCTAAAAAAGTCAAAACTAGTTCATCTAAATAATAAATTGAACAGAAGACACAATGAGAGACTAAAGGATTAGACTTGATTTACTGTTAGTATACAAAAGCCTGAAATGGCTGTACTTTCACATTTGAAGAGGATTAAGATGAATATCATGACTAAAATAAAAGTAGTCTTAAAAAAATACAATGAGGTTAAAACATTAACAATGTTGTTTAGAACAACAATGAGGTTTTATGGCTTTTTGAAAATACTTTTGTGAAATTATATTTATACAGTACCAAACGTTTACTAAATGTCTCAGCAACAACTGTTAGGTGTGTTCCTTTTCCCAAAGATCTGACAAATTGTTTTTTCCTATAAGACAATAAATGCAGGAGAGAACAAAAAGCAAAACTCATCAGAACAGGTAGAAATACTTTCTTTTTTAAAAAAAGTAATTTCTTGTATATACATAAACATATCATCTTAAAGAATGGTTTCTGAGTGCAATGCAGATAATAAAGAAAGGTAACTGGATGAATTCTGTTAGATTGATGAACTCAGAAATGAGAGGGATTGGACCAACCATCATAAAGCTTTTTTGAATTTGATATGAACTTTCTGGAATAGAGATAGCTGAAATATCACAAATTTCTCTAACTGAAATTTCAGACTATAGTCAAGGGAGTTTATTTGTGATGAAAACAAGGTGAAAAACATTTAAAATAGGAATACATTCATATTCTAACAAAGCAACTGGAGTTATATTAGACAGGGATTTTTATCTACATTACCTTTACTGCTTTAGCAGAGTGAATTGTATTTCACTATTCTTTTAGTAATTTCCATGTTCATATGAGCTAAATTTAATTTTTTTTAACTTTTCTCTGCTGAGACCAGGGGTTTTTCTGAGAATGGGTTTATGCAAATACCAGACAAGTACAGATTGAAAGTGACTAAATTTTGATTCCTTATCAATTACTTAAACTTTGTAAAACCAAGAAGCAGGTCATGCAGGATTTGCACATCTCTCCTCTGACTCCATTGTGTGTTGAGAACCAAACTTTTCCATTCTTTCAACCGTATTTTTCAAAAGTGCTTATTCTCATTTCTAACAGCATCTGTATAACTTTAAATCTTTCTATCTGGGGATTCATAACTAATAATTATGGACTCAGCAGATGTAAATTTTAGTATTTCAGAGAAGATTTTGGAAGTTCACCATTTCCTATGTAAAGTGGAATGCAGCTGTATGCTGCATTCTTTAAAAAATGCGTATGACTAAGTGACCATGGATTTTGTTTCCAAAGAAACAAATCAAAGAAAAACATTTTCATTTGTTTATATCTGTGCTAAACTTCACCTATTTATAACTACAAAAAGTTGGATAAATGCAAGCATTGTTTGTCATGTTCACTTCCCTAATTCTTTTGAGCAAACATGCTTTAAGATCTTGGTCGAGATAAAGCCCTCAGTCCTGATAATTTAGTAAATATTTTTAAATATATTCTAATACTTTTAGTTGTTTTGGTTTAGTTGGGTCTTTTTAAATCTGCATAGAGTCACTTGAACTGATGTTTCCAGGCAGAAATACTGCACAGTTGTTTTGAAAATGTGTAACACAATATACCCATGTGTCAAAAAGGATCCAACATTTCCCCAGTACCTTTATACACAATAAAACCAACAATGAATCACAAATTCTTCGTTCTTTATAAACATTAGAAAAAAATGTATTTTGTTCTTAGAATACTAACATTCCATCTAGGACATTTCCATCTGTTAAGCCAGAGAGCTAAGTGATTGTCAAGTTAAACAACCCAGTTCAAAACTCTTTTAGTAGTTACAAAGAAATAAAGAACCTACTTGTGTTGAGAAGTAACAGTGCTTTCATACATAGGAACTCTTCTTGGCTAACTTGAAGTCTGACAAATTCCTGTGGGAGTTGCCACATGGACAGACACAGGGAATAGAATGATGATTCTTTCATCCTCTGTCTTACACCCAGAAAAGGTAAAAAAAATAAATTAAAAAAACATGAAAAAGATAAAGAATGGCTCCAGTACTAACTCCTTGAAAGAAAGCTCTTGTTAGCAGTTCAACACATTACAAGAATTAAAGATAAGCTCATACACATAAAAAATTTCCTGATTTTTTGCTCCTATGCTAGTTTTTTATTGCAATGAATATGCTACTATTTTGGATGTTTAAACTGTTACTGCTGTCCAGAAGAAGATCAAAGATGAATGCTAACCACCAAAAATAAGGGGAGTTTATTAATTAAAAATATCCTAGTGATTAATGTGAAATGCTACCTTATTTTATAAGTCCATAGATTCTTGTATCTCCATAAAGATTTCGAATCATAGAACTGAAGATAAATCTGAAACTCTGTATAAAACTTGTATCAAAATAATCTGTAGCAACTCTAGCCTGGTACTCTAGGAGCAATGATATTATTTTGTAGCATGTTATGTCATTAAAGAAACTATTAAATATCTCACATGCTGAATAAACAGAGACATTAATACAATGTTTCCTAAAAATCCCACAGAAGTAGCCAGAACAAATTACACAGGAAATACATAAAACTGTGGGGTTTTTTTCAGCACTTAGATACCACTTTTCCCTTTGCAATTTTGGAATTTGGTACAATAACAGGAAGATTAAATTTTGTTCCCCGCCTGCTAGGCAGTTCAGATCAGCATTCCAACCTGACTATAGACAGTAACCTCAGCAATCAAAACAGAAGATATTTTCCATTTTAAAAAGATGTTTTCAATGCATTGAAGTTTTTTTTCCTTGTTATTTAAGGTGTTACTGTTATCTTGAATGAAAATTATTTCAATGTTGTTCAATGTCTGATGTCTTGTACCAGCTCTTAAATGACATAAACATAGAAATTTAATATTTTAGACATGAATGGACTTGTTTCTACATCTACTTTAAATCTCTTTTGCTATTACCTTTTTGGTAGCATCTCTTCCTAATTATTATCTACGAAGAGCAATAGAAGCTTTCAGGGTTAGCAGTTTAAATGTTGTTCTTACTCAAATTTTCAGACACTGCAAAATACAAGTAAATCCTTGTAGGGAGTTAATACTAAGAAATCTTTGTCAAACTAGCACTACTGGCTTTCTTGGTCTGAAATTGATGCTACCAAGCACGTCCTTCCTGAGAAGTGTAACAACTCAGTTCACTAAATGATGGACTGGCTGTGACACAAGCTTTGGATTGTGGTTTCATGGTAATTATGAAACAACTAAGTGTGTGTTGCCCCTGCATAAGGAATTTCCATTATCTCTTTCTACCTCTGGGCAGACACTCCTGTGATTCTGGCATTAGTGACTGCACTCCCACATGGTGAGTCATGTTAGGGATCACCTCTACCCGCTAATGAATGGCTTTTTCTGGGTTAGTTACCTCTCAGGCATATAAACTCCTTATCCATTTGATAGTGCAGCCAGAGAGTGTTTGGTGCAGCTTAGCTAAAGTCATGGAGATGCACGACCAGCACAGTTAACTTTATTGGCAGTGCTCAGCAGTTACCTTTGCTTAAAGTGAACCCGAAAGAACAAGCTAAGACATCATCTTAGACAACAAAGTTGTTTACATTTTACTGATCTAAAATCTAACTTATTTCCAATAAATAGTTGCAGCACTGATTCAGTGCATCAGTTACATTTTATATCTCTTTGTTTGTAACACCTCTAGAATGACCCTGAAGTGAGGAATACGTTGTCAGCACCCAGCATAGATGATCTTGAGGTGACAATAAGAAGCTGATGGATTATAATCAGGGTTCATAACTCTCAACACCATTCCCAAAGAAAGTACTTAAAGTCTCCTTCACAAGGTGCCAGCAGTGGTCCAGAAGTGGAGTGATACTCCAAGACATGAAATTACTGCATAAAGCCATCTCACTCTGTGTTTCTTCTAAATGTAACCATAAGATGTATCATACTATGCTGGGACAACAATACAGTCAGAAATTCTTTCAACCTCATCACTTCTAAGTATTTCAATTTGTACAGCACAATTAATAAAAGTGGGAGAGGAAAGAATTAATTACACAACAACCCCATAGTGATTTACAATCATCTGGAAGAGAAAAGGTCAGGAGCTATAAGGTCAGCTCTACTATCTTCTATAAAGAACTTAACTGGGAGGATCTTGCACATCTATATATTTTAAAATCAGATGTTTAGATCTGCAAATCTACCTCTAAATCCTTACACAGTATGTCTTACACACCTGTTTTTCTTTTAGTTTGCCTCATAGCAGTTGTTTTAGTATTTTAAGAAAATGAAAACAAACCAGAGAAAAATGTATTAAGGAAAAATAAGTATAGGGATTAAATAATGTTTTACTGCTACTGGCAACCTCCCATGTACTACAACCAAAGAACATAAAATTACAAGTCTGACAATATTAATTTGCAGAGCTAGAAAACTGACAAAGACTGAAATGACAATTATCTAAATTAAACAGCATAGTGAAGGAAAATCCAAGCCAAAAAGACCCTCCTCTCCCCCAGCAGAAAAGAGTAGTCTCATATAATTTTTCTTTGATACTGAAATTCCTACTTGGTGAATAGCTTTCTTTGCAATTTTATGACAACAAATGTAATTTTCTAACAAGAAATGCACATTAGAAAATCATTTTTATCAGAAAGTGTCAAAACTGAGCATTTAGATGATAGGTGAACTGTTTCCAAAAACCACCCAAACAAAAAAACAACAAAAAACCCACACTCAGTTCCATTTTGTAAATATTCACTCATGAGTTATTCAGAGGAATTAAAGCAAATCTTGTGATAGCATAATTATTATTTATTGATGGGTTTTTTTTCTCTTAGATAATTAAAATACTATTTGAACTGCTTTTGCTTGACCATGTACACAGAATTGTTGGGGTTCCCACAAAACTCCTCCCAAAGTTACTGAAGTTTGATATATCTCGCAAATGGAGTCACAATCCCACTGGCACGAAGAAGTTCAAAGTGTTATTTATATAACACAAGAGCGTTCTACTTACTCATTTAGAATCAGATCTGGTGCAAAATACAACATCTGACCACTGACATGTTTGTATGATCTCCACCCCATTGCAAAAACCATTAGACTCATCCAGGAATACTGGATGAGGGTTATCTGATCATCAATATGCAAATTCCGAAAACCTGGAAATGAAATTAAAGATAAAATACTTCATCATTCTCATTTAGACAGCGGCTGAGTAGGTGTTTTGAGACTACAAGTCTGAGCTATCAAATTCAGAACATCTAGAAAGACAAGCAGTTTTGGGGATGTAGCTCTCCGATGCTTGGGTATTAACTGCCTGTCCTTGATAGCTAACCTCTTGCCTTTTTGTTCTCATTCAGTATTTCAAAATGTTCACACCAAAATTTATTGTAGCAAAAATGACTGTTTCAGAGGATATGAATGTATCTCTTTTTCCTTCGGTAAAAATATGACAGTTTGTAACATGATCACTGTAACCAACTCACATTTAATGTCGATAGCTTGAACACCAGTGTTCTTAAAGTAAGATGCTGCTGTCACACAAAAGCATCTATATACCAGTATCTTTCTTATATCTAAAGAGAACTGTATTCAGTTGTGTGCTTGTGTTTGATAACTTTTGCTGTTTGAAAAATTTAAAGATTTGCACAAATTATCTGAGTGAAATGAACAGCTTCCTGCCACTGAAAGCAGTGCTCCTGTTCTTCACGTGTTCCTGTTACCGCCTTCAAGCAAGCTTTGGCACTCATGCTCCTCCTCAATGAACTGGTTCAGCTCATGAAGACATCAGAAAAACACAGAGGGCTAACTAAAATGGTTTCTATTCTTCTCATTTAGTGAGATGAATCAATTCACTCAAGAGGTCTGGTAAGTGCCAACTGCAATGGGAAGAGCAGTGATTGAGACTACTGCCTCCTGCATCAGCAAAGTGTCAAACTGAGCTCACATTAAACTATATTTTTCAGGCTTTCTGCTCAATATATTGATTTCCATATATTCCAAGATGACCATGGTGATCTCTATCACCATACATAACACATTCACACATAACATAGATTTTTTTTTTTTTTTTCTTTTTGATCCAGCAGTGGATCCTCATAACTAGAGTTAATTCTCATTACCAGTCTGTCTGTGAGCTGCTTAGTCCTAATTGGTATTATTTATAAAAAAATTTCTTTGTTGCTTTCAAAAATTCATTTAAGTAATAAGAATAATAAAGAATAAGCTGTTATACAACCTTTTTACTTCAAATGAATAAATAATAGAGTAAGAGGGGCTGGGGTAGAAAAGCAGTTATAACAATCACATACAGGAATTCTCTGAGCTCCTGTGCTTTCTTGAAGTGACTCTTAAGATTTAGATGGATTTTTTCAAATGTGCTTCCCTATTAAAATATTTGATTAGTTATCTGATAAGCAAAAGCTTAATAATTTTGGAATTTGTAAAAATTAACAGGCAGTCAATAATATTCTCCTTAGACTGCTCCTCCCATGAAATATTTGCTTAACTACAATTCACTTCATGTAAGAAATGATATTACCTGGTAGTAATTTAGACCACTTGACTACACAAAGAAGTTGCCTCTCGCAAAGATGATTCAGACTGGTCAGCAAGGAACTTGGTGTTTCGGGTTTTGTATTGTCATAACCAGCATAGACAACTTCTGGCTCAATGCCTCGTAAAACACTTATCATCGGGGGAACAAACTGTATTTCTTGATTTGGAGAAAAGGACAGCCTTTGGGTTAGAGACTGGCTTTCATCTTGAAGGGCTGCTGGCTGCTGGAGTGCAACATCTAATGTTCTCACAACCTTAATTTTGTTAAACTTTTTCAGTTTTCGACCTGAAAAAGAAAATTGTTGATCTGTTACAAAGAATTAACCAGCAACATTACTATTTTCCACTAGTGTTGGATTACACTTTTAATCTATACAAGGAAACTAGAACTGTCTTCAGAATAAGTTTCCTATTTTTGATTATTATGTAATTGAAAAATAATAATGGAAAAAATCTTAAGAGCTTCTCCCTCTGTATCCTACTCCCTTCACTAGAGGATGAACAGCACCCACCCATTAAAATTATTGCCATAAATTCTAGGTTACAGTAACCTCATAAACTGTTTTCTGGTTCAATTCCCACTGTTCTGTCATATGCCAACAGCTAAGCCAGCTGGCTCTACAATTCAGTTTCTATTTAACATAAATTAAAGATACTGCTTCTTTAACTCCCTAATATTCAAAACCAAAAATGTTAGTAAGCAATTACTACACACAGAAACTTCTTTCCTCCAGTTTCCTAAGAGCATTTCAGTCTCATGGCTGAATCCTATTTTGATGCCCAAGGGATGAGTGAAAGACCAACAAATATTGTAAAACCACATCAATGCTTAAAAAATATTTCACTTCCTAAAGCATAATTTCCCTTTTTCAGTATTTTGATTGTTATTTCTGTACTGCAGTGATACGAACCATACTAACTAAAACAAATTAATGGCTGAACTGCCTTCCAAAAATAAGCACAGCTACACATTGTATGGCTATGGAAATATACAAGTTTAGGTAGAAATTCTTCAAATTTCTTTCATGGAAACAGTCTGGCAGTGCACCCTATAGACAGAGAAAATCAAACCTTCAGAGGTTCAAAGATATATAACACTCAGTGACATATTAGTGGTTTCAATAAAAAGGCAAATCCATGCAGAGGTGACTACATGGAACACATTTGCTTTAAATAGATCCACAAAGATGATGAAAACCCCAGTGTGCTAGATCTTTAGTTCTGCCAAAGAAGTTTGTCTTAGGGAAAAAAGGATCAAAAAATGCAATAAACATACTGATATTTATGGTCTGATTTACATGACAGGGGGAGATGGCAAAAACAGTAACACTCATCATGCAATGACATTCAGGGGTCATATTCCCACTAACGTAACTGCAGGCTTAATTAGTTTAGTATCATGTGCACCAAAAATCATATGCTCATTTTATCACCTGTGATAAGAATAAAAATATTTCTGATTAGAGATTTCTTAGTAAAGAACTAAATACAAAGTTACCTATAATGTTACAGCTGAACCAAGAAAAAAAAAAGTTAAACAAGAGCCCACAAAAGAATAGACAATTTATTATGCCAAAAGACCTAGAGCCAATTTTTATGATAACAAACCTATCTATACATAGTCATAGACATGCTGGGAGTTTCCCACTAAGTATTGTGTAAGTAGGAAGGAAAACAGAAGTAACAATGCATTTGATAGTTCATAAATAATGATTTCAGGTATTTTCACAAATAATGGCTTCAGATACTTTTACAGTTCAGAGAACAATAAAGAAAGAAACCAAACAGAATTCTTATCACATGGAAATGTTAGTAGTTAATAAGTACCCATGTTTCCAAGTGACTAAATGTATCAGAATTAATGTCACACTGGTTTGCAGCACTTCTTATGTGTTTATTGCTAATTATGTTGCTTAACAGCCGCCAGTAAAATAACTCCACTTGTTACCTATCCACTGGAGAGGTGACTATTAATAACTCACAGCAAACTTTCACATCTACAACAAGCAGACCATGTCAAATTAATAAAAATTCTTAAGGACATAAGGAAAACAACAGAGATTTGACAATAGCTTAGTTTATCATATGTTGTTTACAAAACAGGTAAGTTAGCAATGCAAGATAAATAAATGTCTCCATTTAGTCCCATAATGGGTAAGTAATACCAATCCACTCTGACAACTACTTTTCTTAATCCTATAACTTGTCTGTACATATTTATACAGCACACACTTTTTCTGTAACATTTTAATTTTCTTTTAAGATAGCTAACCATTCAAGCAGTTTCTTAGTACTCACTGTACCCCCACCCTTGATTACTATGAATAGCATCTTTATAGTGTTTGTGTTCTACATGTACCTAGAAAACATAAAAAATATAAAATACATTTATTCTCACTATGAGATATATTATTTTTGTCCTCACTACTTAATTATGTATTTTACTATTTTTTAACTAGGTGTAAAAGAATCATATAGACAATCAGACGTTACTGATGGTAGACACTTCATAGTAAAAGGGCTGGGTTTCTAGTACAAGTCTTAACATCTCACTACCCTTCTCTTTACCCTAACGAGGTGAAAAGCATCAATGATGTATTATTCTTGACAGAACACTATGGCTCTTACTTTAAGGTCACTATGCTCTTGCTCTTTGTGTAGAAAAACAAGCCGTGTACACCTTCGGGGGGTGTATACAAAAAGAAAGCAGCAAAGCAGAAGTAACACATCTTGGTTTTAATAAAACCTTTGATCCTACCTCAGAAAATATTACCTGGTAAATTAAATCACCTTTTTCTGCATGTAATCACTGCACTGTGGACTGAAAGCCAACTGAAATAATGAAGAGCACAGTAGCTTAGCAATACAGCTGAACAAGGAATCTGCAATAATCAACCTGGGAAAATTACAGATTCACTCATAATAAATAAGAGAGTTGTTTATTCCAGGACCTGATCCAGCTACCTGCTATCCTATTATGTTTAAGATTAGAAAAGGGGTAGATTAATGTCTCAGGTTATGAGGTTATAAAACCCAAAGATAATTAACACTTTCACAGGGAATGACAATTATGGTACAATGAAACGCATGTTTTTATTGATATTTTCCTTCTATACATTAAGAAAGAAAAAAGTCCACATAGGGAAATAAATTACTGATGCTATTTGTTACTATTCTATAATTTACTTACAACTGACATACAATTTCTTTTAGAAAAATTCAGGGGTTTGAAATTGCTTTGAATTTAGGGTTGAAAACTAGAACGATTGTCCATGTAATAAAATAATACATTCTTATCTATATGGTTGAATAGGCGTACTTCTCTAAGAAGTAAGTTTAATTTAATAATATAGTACTTTTTGGAATCTTATCATTTATATCCTGTAAAATCTTAGTGCTTCTCATGTTAATTAAGCAAAATAGTAGGTCTTCACTTAAATTGAGGCCAGCATCAAGAAACTAGGTGTCAGGGGTAAAAGAACAAAAATATCTCTCTGTAAATTCTTAACAGCAGAAATCAGAAACTGCACAAAAAAAATCTTGACTTATACAGGCCGTAAACACAAGAAGAGATTTTAAGAATTGCTGATTCTCATTCATTTAAAATACTCAAGGATGTTTCTAAGTATGTAATTTGTTCCAAAACTGGAGATTTGTGTATGGACATTCAACAGAGAATCAAAGATTCCAAGATGGGATGAACCTGAAGGACTATCCAACCTTCCTTGGAAAAAGCACAGTCTAGACAAGATGACCCAGCACCTTGTCCAGATGAATCTTAAAAGTGTTCAACAGTGGGGGGTCCACCACTTCTCTTCGGGGATAATGCCAATGGCTTATTTTCCTCACTGTGAAATATTTTCCTCTTGTGTCTAATCAGAATCTCTCTAGGAATAACTTGTACTCTTTATTCCTTGTCTTTTCCATGTGACTGTAAAGAGAGTATTTCCATCTTTGCAGTCACCCTTTAAATAATGGAACACGTGATAAGGTGTCCCCTAGTCCTATTTTTCTCAAGGCTGAACAAACCCAGTTCACAGTCAGAGAATCACAGAATCATTTAGGTTGGAAAAAACCTCCAAGACCATTGAGTCCAAACTTTGGTGCATCACCACTTTGGCAAATAGAGCACTAAGTGACACATGCAGCCTTTCTTTAAACACCACCAGGAATAGTGACTCCATCACCTCTCTGGGCAGCCCATTCCAAAGTTTAACAATCCTATCTGTGAAGAATTTCTTCCTGATGTCCAAGCTGAAATTCCCTTGGCACAGTTTGAGACTATGTCCTCTGATCATCTCATCTTAGGGAACTGTAGTTCCCTAGGAAAAGATGCCAACCCCCATCTTCCTACACCCTCCTTTCAGGGAGTTGTAGAGGGTAAGAAGGTTGCTCCTGAGCCTCCTTTTCTCCAGGCTAAACACCCCCAGCTCCCTCAGCTGCTCCTCACAGCACTTGTGCCCCAGAGCCTTCCCCAGCTCCGCTGCCCTTCTCTGGACACGCTCCAGCCCCTCAATGTCTTTCTCATGTTTAGCCTTTCCTCACACAGCAGGCTTCCCAGCCTTTTGATCACTGATGTCTTTGGGAATATTATCTAAGCCCTGTAACACTCCATATATGAATCATACTGTTTTGATCAGCACATCAAGTCATGATTAGGAAATATTGCTCATATGATACAACAAAGGAGTTAGAAACAGGAGACAAGGAAGAAGGGTAACAATAACCATAAAAAGAGGATTATGGTTAACAGCCTATCTTGAGATTTCATTTGCAGTTTGTATTTTAAATCCTTATTTACAAATAGTCTCACCCCAGTCTTCCTCATTTTTGGCCTACATCTGTCTTTTCTTCTTTCAGTACTAAGCATTCTATTTCAGCCTTCATAAAACAATAAGCTTGTTACTATGCAGAACAATGCTGAAACAAAAGGACTAGACAATGATAGTGAGTCATCTCACATTCTTCTTCTTGTTGAAACTGCTGCCTGTGATGTTGAAACACACAGAGTTTAGTTATTGGTGTTACCCAGGGTATCATAAATGAAAATTCAGGCTAGATCATCATCAAACTCTTAGCTGTGCAAAATTCACAGGCAGGAATGAATTTTTATCTGTATTAATTTACACCCATTAGAATCATAAAATGGTTTGGATTGGAAGGGATCTAAAGATCATCTAGTCTAAGTCACCTGCCTTAGGCAGGTATTTATTTTAGAGGTCAAAATTGATCAAACCTTGCATATTCTCCCAAATTTTAAATGCCAGGCACTACATCTGCCAACTCCTCTTCCTGAATCTTCATTCTTACTCTGTATTTTCCACAGCCTGCTCAGGACCTCTGCCACCTTGGCTTTCTCCTCTTCCAAGACTTGGCAAACAAGGTTCTGCCTTCGTAATAATACTGTTTCCCTACTGCACTGCTACTCCAGTTTTAAAACACCACTTCAATCTGAGAAGGATCCAAAGGACATGTTCTCCTTTTGTCCCTCTCCTCTCAGCCCAGAGGCACCAATGTGCTTGTCAGCTCCATTTATTTTTTTTATCTGAGAGGTGGCACTGACTGACCATGTAAGAATGACACAATGGCCACGTGTGTGTGTGTACAGAATGCTCCAGCTCCATGGAGCTCACATTCAGCTTACAGGAGCTGGAAACACAGAGCTGTGCAATCAAACTATCATACTGAAAACTATATACGTTTTAAATTATCAATGAATGCTGATCAGCAGGATAATGAACTTATGCACAGTATATAGTGCCAGCTCTTCCTTCAGGGATAAAAATACTGAAATGTGGGGGAAAGAATGTAAGGTTGAGCAGAGGAGAGAGACAGATAGAGGGATTTGATGGGATAAAATTGACTAGACTGGAAATAAAGCAGGTTCTTCTCCTTCCCTTTCTTTTTTAAACTATCTTTAGGAACATATTCTTTCTATCAATTTCATATGGCCATTTTCTTATAATCTTAGCCACATATTTTCAAGCTTTGTGCTGATCCAAAATATGAAAGAAAAAAAAAAAAAATAGAGCAAAAATAAGCTGTAATAATAATTCCTGCCTGTAAGCACAATAAAACTTACTATGTGACTACCTGATTTTATACCTTGAAATCTGTACCTGTTTCTAAAGGCACAGTGCTCAATTTAATGTAATGATACATAAAAACCCCTAAATCTGTTACAGGAAGAACTAATGCAAAGATGTGATTTCCCAGCACCTAGTATGCAAAGCCTGCCATATTGGTGCAACCACTGCCTGGCCCTCTCTGGTGGAACAGAAGGATACAATTTTGTTGACATGTACTCAAAGCAATGATGAAGGGTATAACAGAAATTAGAAGGGGACAACAATGATTCCTGATTCTAGTGTCAATTTCAATTTGCTTATTTTTTACCTAAATCAAATTACCTGATCCAAAATTATTAATAAATGCACACCAAAGACACAATTCCACTCTTCTTCTCTCCAAGAAAATTAATGTAAGGGTACACGGTGATTCCTACAGAAAGGTGTTTTGTCAGGGTTTCCAAATTCACTAAAGAAAAATTCTAAGAAATTATGAAACATTAGGTAATTCTTCCAAAAATAACTTTTGAACGAGGTTTTTCTTTTACAGTACCAAAAATAATGTTGTTTAACCCCGACAGACTGAAGGTAGTGTACTTGACTGCCTATTTTTATAAATCCCTTTGAAAAACAGCTCACCTCCCAGAACCATTCCAGCTTGACAGCACTTCCTCAAGCGACACGCTGGGCAGTTCTTCCTACGGATTTTATCGACTATGCAGTCATTTCTTCCAGCACATAAATAGTTGTGCTGACCTGCAGGCAAGAGAAAAACAGGATTAATATGATGCTTTCTAACATGACAAAATTATTTCTGTGTATAAATGTTTCAAAATAACTGAAGATTCAAAAATCTTGAACCATTAAAGAACTCATTCATTTTATGCTAACCTTTGACCAAACACGTTATTATTTGAATATAATGATTTATTTGGTCTGTTTAAGGGAGAAACTCCTCATTTATGAAATTCCAAAATTATTAGCAGGCAGCACAAACTGCTTAATAATTTAACAATATTTCCTAAGTAAATCAAGCATGAGGACAAACCAATTGTTTCTTTAAAAATTACTTTTCTTTGAAGTTATTCACCCTGTTTGCAAAGAACTTAAGTAAATTTTGCTTGGATTGATGTGGAGTTGACAGCAAACAGAATGAAGAAGTTCAGGTAGTGCAGAAAAAAAGTCTTTTAAGCAAAGTAAATGACCTCTGATGGAGAAGCAGTTCTGTACTAAACTTGCTGAAATACCAGCTGACCAGGTGCAGCCAACACAGCCAAAAAGGACAAATAGAAGATTGTAACTTTGTGGTTTAGGTTAGCTCAATTCATTGTTTAACTCTGAATGATACTGTTAGAAAGAGCCTGTCATTAGTGTATTGAAATAGAGTCCTTTCAATTACATTAGCTTTCAGCAAAGCAACAGATTGAATGGAATATTGTGAATATGGACCTCCAAACATAACAGAACTCAGTACAAAACCATTTAAATTTTCACTGATTTCTAGGTCTAGAAAAGAGTTAGTGCTGAACCATGTGAAACAATGCATTTGTTTCTGTGCTAATATTTTTAGAGATAAATAAATTACTTCTTAACCATAACTTTAAAAGAACCTGTTTGGTTTTAGTGACAGAAACACAATTGTTGGAAAATAATTTTCATAACAATTTTTCTTTTTTTTTTTAGAAAACTACAGGTAAACAAAAACGGTTTCCTCACACATTGCCTGGCAACAAAAAAGTCCTTAGCAATGTTCTAATCAGAAGAAATTCTCAGTTACTTTGTACCAGTAATTCTAAGCCTGGACTCCTCCATACAGGGAACATTACCAAAAGTAGATGAATGAATAAAAATCTGCCCTGCTATTGGCAGCAGACCAGTAAGCAAAAGACTTACTTTGAACAATTCTTCCTCGGGATTACTTGCATTTTTAACTCGTCTTTCTTTGCCATTATAAGCTACAAAAAGCATTCAGTCTTTTGATTAGCAACAACAAATTTAGAATTCTGTTAATTAAAATCCATGAGTATTATCTCAGCTCTTTGGCATTCTAATGTTTTAATACACAGCTAATTTACAAAAGAATGCTGAAGTATAGTTAAAGTTTTCTTTGTGTTTGTCTTGTTGTGGGGTTTCCTTTGGTCCCCTGAGATTTCTTCTGGACCTCTTTTCCAGGGAATCTGCTAAGTCTACACTAGATGGTCTGAATACATATAAACCTTGTCCTGCTTATTATAAATCTAAGACTGAACATTTTTGACATTTACAAAACAAATCATAATTGAATCACAGTCATGAAAACTACACTTCCATGTTCATATGTTCTGAAGCTTCCGGTTGGACAGGATTAAACAGACTCTGCCAGAAATCAAATATTACTAGAATTTAGGCACAGTAAAATTGGCTTAAAAGCCAAAACCCTGCCAACCCAATTCTCTCAGGGGATTATGGTGACAAAAACTCAGGCACATCTTGATGCTTCCTGTTAACAACTTCGTTCTTTTAAAGACTTTTAAGAAACTACAGTCATATCTTGCACTTGACTTATACCTTCATGTGAGTTTTCCATTGCACTCATCTCTACCCCATCTCTCCCTGAGACCTTCTGTCCTAAAGTATATTCCACTAATTTTGATTCAGCTGGAACTTATTTAGAAAACATTTCTAAATTTCAAGTAAGTTTCAATTATTTTTGGTATTTTCCAGTTTCATCAGCAAAGGATTTTTTTTAATTGCAGTGATCTGTGTGGATTTAATCTCAATAGATAAATCTGAGTGTACGTTGCCATTTAAATCACTTTTAACATTGTGCAAAGCTGGGTCCTGAGGAACTGTTACGTGCTTGACATTAATATTTTATGGACAGCAGCCATCTGAAAGAAAAATTGTGTAAAAAAATGAACACATGCCAGATATTTGCCTAATTTCAAAATTACAGGGCAATATTCAGTTAGATGAAGATGTTTGGAAGGTTTTCCTGGAATGATAAAATATGTATCTGAAAATCTATTTGCTACAGTTCAGTCTTCAGGATTACCTAGATTTGAACTAATTGTCTTCAATACTTGAGCATTGCAATTATACCAAATGCATGTACTAATGAAGTACCCAAAACCCCCATCATGATAAAATCACCATTCAATTTGTAGCTTGATATTCAGCATCTTTCCTACAACTGTCATTATAATCAGGAAAACAAAAAACGAAACAAACAAGCAAACAAAATACTCAGGAAAAAAACAGGATAGCAGTATTTTAGTTGCTAGAATATGAGTTTGCAATTAAGGTTGCTATTAACATTTCTTACAAAAATATGAACCTGGGAACTTTCTGGCAATTGGCCCATATTCAGAAAACTTCACCCACTGTTAAGATTCCTATGCATGTTCACTTTTCACTGTTTTTTGAAAGTGCACGTTGAGGGTCACTCTCAATTTATTGGTTTGTGACCAGCTTGACGGAGAAAACACAGAGATGATTTTATCTGCCACTTAAATGTTCAAGATTCTTGTAGGATAATATTTTTTAAACTTCCATCAAAATCCATTAGTGTTAGCAAAGCTGAAAGTTCTAATGTAAGCAGCAAACACAATTTCAAGTCTTCTAATGACTACTGCTATACTGGGAGGTTTTTAATCCAAACAGTGCTGGAAGTAGCACATACAATATCATAACAAAAATCTGACTTCTGGAAGCCAAGAGAACAGACTAGGCTAGACCCTAGCTTCTGGAAAACCTGACTTATTAGAGTAAATACAGGGTAAACCTTACCCTGAACATGCTCTGACAAGACAGGTTTTCCACAGCTGGGCAAACTGGCCTAGTTCATCCTCAGTAAAATGGGAAGTAAAATTCTATCGAATTTAGCCCAGATCTAAATGTAACACTCTTCTATTTACACTTTCAAACAGTAAAACAGCAAATGTGGGTTGAATTTACCTCTCATTATGTGGTTTTTTTTAGTCTTGAAGAACTAGGAATCTACACTACAGTCTCCGTGTCCCTGTATGCCATCCCATGCTATTAGTCTCCAAGATTCCACACAATTCAGATAATGTTGTTGGGGTTGTTTGTTTTTTGTTTTTTTTTCATTTAAATCTGGTTTTATTTCTGTGTGTATTCTCTAAAAATAGAAAAAGTCCCTGAAGTGAGACTTCTGACTCTAACTACTTACCCAGAACCCACATCCATCACAGACTTTACCATTCATTATCTTTTGATAAAGATGTACATTTCCTGCTTGGGCCATTGAAGTAAAATTCTCACTTCCAGTTCTTAAGTAGGTGTTGTGACTTCCACCCTGTAGCCTATATCAGTATAAAGACCTGCTATTGATGCAAGTCTGCTCCTCAGCAAAGAATTAAGGATTCAGTGGACCAAAGAGAACAAAGAGTGGAAAGCAGAGGAACTTGTGAATATGTTCCGTCCTGGAATCTAACTGAAATAATGAAGAATTTCTTTCTTCATAATAATATATTTCATAGTGAAAGCAATAAAAATGATTGTTTATAAGATCCTTGACTGACTCTTTCCTCCTCTTGCATAGTGATCTCAAAATCTTCCCATCTTTGGCTGTGAATCCTGCAACTCTATTGTCTTTTTTCCTTCCAAAATCACTTCCCCAAAGAGCAACCTCCAAAGAGAATATAATTTTTAAATGATATCTACAAAACAGAACAATTAAATGTAGTTATCTTGCTTTTCACTGACTTCTAGACAGAGTCAAAAGTTATAATCCTGCTTTTTAATCTTTTTTTACATTTTCCTGCCTGTTCCTGTTTCTGTTTTCTAACAAGAAAAAGACAGAAAACAAAATGAAAACCACAGAAAACCAAAATGAAACAAGATTAACTCCTAATTCATGGCAACTATAATGAACTGCAAGATTAGGAATACTGTTTCATATTGATTTTCAGTTGGTTTGCCTAGACTGTTTACCGCTGCAACACCTTGAAATGTATAAAGTCTTGGAGTCTAAATACAGGAATTGACAATAGTAAAAGCTTTCCACACTCTTTCAGGAGGATATGGTAGCTTCTACAAGTCACTATTTCCAGTTCTTTTTATGGTATTTTGTCACAATTGTTCCTTGGTCACAATTTTTAAGTAATTAACTACATCAGGGATATAAATAGATAAAATAATGGAAATGCCAGCATATTTGTCAACAGGGGGTCTGTTTCTTACAAATACAAAACATGGCATTTGAACACAAAACCTACTTTAAAAACACACCAACTATCTCAGAGGTGCATAGCACTAAAGTATCAGTTATTCTCCTTTTAATCCTTGAGTGTTATATTCTTCTATCAAGATAAGACTCTTTCTATTTGCATTTCAGTCATCCTATCATTCTGGTTCTAGTGGAATTATCATAGCACATTGCCATAATAAGTTTTTTCATGTATATTTTCCTTATATTCCTTGACTTGTCCTGCAACTGAACCAGTGGGACAGGTTCATTCACTACATGAGCAATAAAGGTGGAAAAAACCTAGAAATGTTGGTAGGAGAAAAAAAAAGCAATGTGCAAAACCCCAGAAATTACTGCCTCTTAATTGAAACACCTTAGATTAATTTGATTCTATTTGATTAATTAGATTCTAAAGTGTAGACATCTATCAAAACACTAGTGATGTATTGGTGGTACATCATGAATACTGTGGAACAAATACACAATTTAAAACGAGGGACACCATCAAACCCAAATCTACTTTTAGCAGAAAACAGTTTTACTATAAATACTTACACTTTACATA